GTCTGGTACCTACCAGTGGCGGTTCGCCCATATGGGCAAGGCGGGCACCGCCACCCTGGAGAAAGAATAGAAAAATAAAAAATGCTTTTAATACAATATTTGAAAAGGCCGCGACCCTGAAAATCTAAAAAAATTCGCTTATGGTTGTTTTTTATTTTTGTCGCCCACCCTTACTTGGACACCACGAGCCGCCACTGGTACCTACAAGAGAATCTAGGAAGTAATAAATAATTGCTTTTTTCTCCAAACGTCAAAAAAACGCCACTTTGTTAACCTCTGTCAAGATGTCAGAAATTTACTTTCTATGCTGGTAGGCAAATCCAGCAGGTTAACACCTGTCGAGGTGGTAGAAATTTAATTTCTACGCTGCTTGGCAACCCCAGCGGCAGCAAAAGTACTTTTAGTGCCGCTCGTACTTTTACTGCCGCTTAACCATTCAGTTACCCCCGAGCTTACCCCATTCGTTTGGAGAAAAAATAGCGTGTTGCATACAGAGTAGAAGCACTTTTTTGTGCTTCAGCAGTATTGCAAACCTACTGCTTCAGCACAAAAAAGTAAAGCTTCTACTCCTAATACAACAATATACTATTTTTTATTGCCACCAGGAATCATAATTGTATGCCTCAAGGACCAGACACATTCCAAAAAAAAAAAAAAAAAAATTGCCCAAATTATTTTCGAGACTCGACAACAATACCCGGCAGTTTATTTATATGAATCATATACATAAATGCACATGTTTTTATAATGTCGACATTTATTTTATTTAAACAGACTCTTGATTTTGTCTCGTAAAAAAATGACTCATTTATTTATGTATATTACAGACCCAGACGCTAATGATTTTTTTTGGGGGCAAGTTGAGTCATTATTGTCTGGTGGACTGATTTTGTTTTTGATTGCAAGTTTTTCTGAGGGCTAACATCCAATATACATAGATAAGGCATGCGGAAGGCAGGATAATCTTTATTTTTCAATAGAAAATTTCATGTTAATGAACGATTTATGTGGAAGGTTTTCACTCATCAGCAAGTTAACGACCCGCTGTTATCTTCTAGCACTTACTTTTAGCGAAAACCTAATTAAGTTTTTTTTTTGTTTCTAAAATTCACTGCAATAATTGGCTTGCATGAGATACTATGTAAATTCATCATTAGAATTGAGAATTTTCGACTCGAACGAAATCAACTACAATTTCATGCAAATTCAATTTCGTACCAAACTTAATCTAGTCAAATTTTGTTTTTTTTGTGTGTGAATCCGATAAATGTTACCTTCGGTTTCAAAACCTCAGAAAAACTAAAATTTCACTCAACGATGTGGCAGAACTCTCTCATCAAACGTTGTTGCAAGTAATTCTAAATTTTTGTGCGGATTTGCAACTTATCTGAACGATGTTGATAAACCTTGGCTTTGAAAAAAGTTCTCTTATACGCTTTGAGGGATCTCGAAGTAACGATTATTTGCAGAACATTTTGAACTAGGTACTTAAATAATAACTTCATGGATAAGTATCGGACAATATTTCCATTCATTTTGTTCCATTATTTTATATTGATGGATAAAGTTTTTTGATTGATATTTCTAGAAGAACGAAATTTTTTAAGCCGCTGTCATTGATAGCAGTTCAGGAAATAGCTGGTCCCGTCGTTAATCCAACTTTGCCATTGACAGAAGTTCGTCACTGTTAGTTTACCGGATTAGTGATGTAATGTGCAATTTCTCGCACTAAAATTATGATCATAAATAATACAGAAATAAAATATACTCAAAATTATATTTCCAATTTTTGTAGACAATATTGTTACGAAATTACATTGGTGCGGAGAAGCTGTTCTTCAGTCTCATAGAGTAAACAAACGATCACATAATTCTAGAGATTTCTCGATTGATTTGTATGTAAAGTCCGTCGATTTTAATCTGATGCTCCAAAGGAATGTGAGCTGGTGGCGCCCTATACTTGACGTCACACCTGTTTTTGCCATAAGCTTCACCCTCTTGCTCCTCATACGAAAAGTGTCAGATTTAAAACGACGGACAATATGGATTCATACTGACAAGAGAAAAATCCAGACAATTTGCGAATGGCCTCTATCTTGGGACAAGCATGAACTTGGAAGTTTTCTTAGACTCAGTACATAAGGTACTGGAGGTAAATATGGCCCAGTGGGTAATATGGCCCAAGGTCTCAATTTTAAAAATCAAAGCATTTGTGACCAATCTGACAACGTCGAATAGTTGCTTGTATCGTCCCTCTACAACGAGTATTTTCTCATTCACCGATCATCACGTGGTTGCGAATTATCAGCAGTTCTAAGTTACCGGCCAATGTGATGCCACGACGAAATTTGAGGTTGTGTTTCTCTAATAGGGCAGTGGAAAATTTTTTGACATATTTTTTTAACTAATTTTCATAACAAAATGCTTTTAGAAAAAGATGACGATAAACTCAATGCGCACTGATTGACAAATGGAAATCTTTCAAAAATTGGGGTTATGTTGAGGGTGCGCCTAGATGTAATGATACCCGACAGACGTTGATATATCTCCCTTTTTTGCACTAATCAGTAAGTTTGTGTCGAATATCGGACGTAGGTTTGATTTAATTCATACTCAAATACAGCAACTATGACGTAGAATCAAGGCGCTGTAGTATAACATACCCGGGTTCCTTCAGTGAGATTGAACGGAGTGAATTTTTATTACCTTTTAAACAACAAATCTTCCGAAAAACGAAATGAAAAACAAATAGGACCTACGTTGTGGAAACTTACTCAATTTTACTTACTGGACATGCGCCCGACATAGCAAATAGCGAAACGAAAAATTTGTGAAACGTCTACTTCTTTATTAAAGTAGATCGTACCGTTCTCATCCTGGAACTAACGAGGGGAAAGAGCACGGCAAAGAAACCCTCAATCTATCATTCCTCAAAAATCGAAACATACTGTGTAATTTTATTAATAATTGTGAGTCATTAATTCAATAATTTAAGTCAATAAAAGTTTTTTTTTGCTTTGTGCTAAAATTTTAATTCCACACATAACATTCAATCAATACGGAAGAGTTTTTTTGTTAGTTAGTCAGTTTCCCAGCAGGCACTGAGGTCCCATACGGGAAGCTATTCAGCTATAGTTGTTTTTGAGCCAATAATTCTAAATTGATTATTTCAATTTGCTAGGATATTCTCTCTTCAGGGTAGGAAAATGTTAGTAAATTCAACAAGGCTCTAATGCACGCTCTAAATCCAAAAATCAAAATCCCAGCATAAAAAGATAGCATATAATTTACGGAACGTTTAAATAAACAAACTAAGATTTCACTGAAATGTCATTCAAAAAGCCAGTGGGCTGACATTCTTCTTTTTGTTTTACTTGGTATCCGTACATCTCTTAAAGGGGGTGTGACCCAATGACATATGAACACAGATAGACATCACAGTAAACAAAATTTCATATCGTCAACATCTAGGATAGCAATCCACCACCGGTGTATCCCCTCCAAATTGGTTGCAAAATTGTTACAAATTGATATTTTGTCCTGTAATGACTTTGCTTCAAAAAGTTGGAGGTTCAAGACTAAAAATTACTACTGGCAACGCCGGTTCTGTAAGACAGCTGGAACACACATGCAATCGATTGGCATGTCAACGCGCCTATCAAACTTATATCATATGAGTTAGAGACAGACAGATAGATAAACGAGTTGCGTATTTCTTCATTATTTTGGTCAAGTGATATGACAGGATTAAGAAGGTAATACGAGTCTTGTTTACACCACTGAAGCATCCCTACCAAGAACCCCTCGAACAGCTCACCTCTTGTCATCACAAGAAACATCAGTTTATGAATGAGATGTGGTGTCTATCTGTGTTATCGACATTATGGTATTGTTTTTGCAATCATCTTTTTTTTTGTATGGTGAAGTGTTGATGTGTTGAAGGGCGAAGTAATGTAGCGTAGCGATAACAATACTGTACATCTCGCTGTACATTGACATTTTCAATTTAAAACCTATAAAGACTCTAGCTATAAATAGTATGAAAACAGATTCAGTTAGTTGACAGCCGTTGACAGTGGTTCGTTGACAAGTGGGAACTGGAAAGTATTATTTCCTCGGTTTTTTCAAGGTTTTTTCCTAACAATAGTGATTGTTGTGTAGTGTGTCTTTTCGTAAAAATAATTCCTATTCACCGGCGGACAGGTGACCATTCTAACCATTTTTTAACCTAAAAGAAACCGGTGAATCCATACCAACCTGGCATACAAAATTTACCTAAAAGCTTTCAAGTTCAATGGGACTCACAGTTAGCAAAAAATGGATTACTGAAACGATCCAAGAGTATATGCGGTTGGATATCACGAGAATAAATGATTAGGTCGGGACAATCTCATTTGAGAGCAAGGCAGTAATGTGAAATTACATTGTGCGGAACAGCCAACGCCATTGTGCATCACCGGTTGGTTTGCAATAGAATATTGCATTGTATGGCAAGAATTTACGAGGATAGTAAATTCTAGGGATTTCTGGTTTCATTGGTTTCGCATATAAAGCGCGTAGTTTGTAAGTAAGTTAAGTAAAAGTGAGAAGTGGTTAGTGAGTTTGTAAAGTTAATAAGTTCAATAACACCAGTTGTTGATAGTAAAGAAAATTTCAAAGGATCCGTTGAATTCGTGGCATCATGAAGAGCTTTCCCAGTCATCAATGTTGGTGGCATATACCTTTTGGGTCGGAGTAACTTTAACTATAGGCCAGCAACATGTCAGTGAGTGAGAAAGCTGATCATAGGTAATGATATTTAACCTCCATCGGCACTGTTATCGTGTGAACACGCAAATCTGCAATAATGGTGTCCTAAAAAAGTTATAGCAGAGGCTCTTATAGCAGTAGCCATCCTGACGGATTACAGATCTTTGCCCTTCGGGCACTCAATAAAAAATTGAACCAGAAAGATGCAAAAAAAATCAAACAAAAACACACAAAAACGCACAAGAACTTACGGGAGTGACTGCGGATGAATCGAAGTTGGAGGACACTGGATCGTTGTGGGGAGTACCGGGTACGTCCTGCCGCTCTGTTGGACACAATGGGCGCAGCAGCAGACACGAGGCCAGGCCGAGAACGACGCCTGCCAACGCTGCTGCTGCCAACGCCGCGACGATCCAGGAGGGTGGTACTTCACGTAGATTGGGAGGCGGTGAGGCAGCAGGGTGCTCGTCAACGATGACCGCTGCAACACCAAATGTCACTAATCTTAATCTTGGTATTTTCGTTATTTCAAAAAAAATATATTATTTATGCGCTGACACTCAGGGCGGAACCTACATAATATCTTTAAACTTTTCCAAGTTCGACTACCAACCCACAGTCAATGCATGCGCAGACGTTTTCGATGTTTGTTTCTACTTCATTTGAAAAAGAAATAAAATGCGGTAGCCCGGTTTGACTTCACACAATACAGGAAGGGGTTTGCACCGAACTTCCAAATCATAGTTCTCAAATTTGCGATCGTTACTTTCTTGCTTGTTAGCTTTACAACCAACTCAATCCACGCCTTGGATTTTGTCATCAGGCTTGAGATCGCTTCGTTGGCCGCTGTTTCTATATTAGAAAACAAAATTCCATTATAGCTTCAATCATTTTGGAAAGAGTTTTCGACTTGGTTTCACAATGGTTTGATATTAACTTGTTGGTGACATAAGAGAACTTAATCGGTATAACTATTATATTATACTATTTTGTCTAAACAATTCTCCGATAAACATCGATCTGTAGTTCGCTATATTATTCAATGGAGGCTGAATTCCACTGTTGAGAATTCTAGTCATCGGGTCGATCATACGAGTTTAAGAGCTATCTCTCTGTCATGTTAAGTTCGGTTAAGACAAAAGCTTTGTCCCAACACAGCAGGAAACCTAATAATGTATGTAGAATCCGAAATTCGTAGACAGAGTGGCTTCGAAACCGTGCATGGGACTTAATATTATTAAAATAGTCTAGAATTAGGGGTTTTCAATTTATTGGAATCTCGAGAACTTTGAGCCAATAATAATAAAAATCTCAATATTATTGTACTACTATGCATTTTGGAATCCTTTTTGTGTTGTTCAAAAAATATACCCACGCTCAAACGGATCGTCTTCGAATTTTGCGCTTGTCCGCAAAGCCCAGACAACGTTTATTGCATTCAGATGGGCTTATTTGCTAAAAATGTTCTGTCCTTTTGTATTCGACATATTGAAAATTCGGCAGGGGTTCAGTTGCGACATGAAACGCGATAACAAAAAAAAAAAAAAAAAAAAATGTAGACGTTACTGTGAAACATGAGATGAATTTATCAACTTTTCAAATAGGGTCGTTTCATGATTTTTTTAAATTTTTTTATTGAATTAAGCACATCAAAAACTATTCTTGGTTTTTTTCCCGCATTTTTTAGAATGATATTAAAGGAGATATTTCAATTCGAAATTTTACTATTTTCCGTTATTTTTTAAAACGGTTTGACATCACAAGGCGCGCTTGCGCCCTGTATTTCTAAATTTAAGTTTGCAGCACTGACAGAATTTGCTAGTTGTCTAGTTGGCTACCCTGCGACTGACATATGTCCGTCTTCTTCTAGAGGTTAGGTCAGTTATTTTGTTATTTATTTTGATTCGCCTGCCTAGACTGGTTGATTTATAAAATAGAAAATAAATACTTATTTCACCCGTTTATTTGTTTGGTTTATGTGAGAAGATGGATAGTGGATTTATTAAAGCCTCCAGCGAAAATTTACCTAAACTAAATTATGCGATGCAAAAATACGGATTATTTAAGTGCAGAAATAAGAGGAGTCAAAACAGAAAGGTGGGTAATGAAATATTGGCATAATTATTGTATTGGTTTAGCTTTGGCTCATTATTATATTACATTTTTAGTAGCAGGGTAACAGTTTAATAGTTTCATATATTTTTAGGTCGGCGAGAGACAGTTATTGTAGGTGACGATGCTATTGGGTGTGTGCAGTTGAAAAGAGACAGCAGAATATCCTCTGTTAGGAGCATTGCCAGATGGAATAAGCAAAGAATTTGTGATTGAAGTTGAATTTCCTAGCAAGGAGGAGACTGTGAAAAACTACATTAAGAAAAATGAAAATATAATGACGAAATACATGTGCCAACTTCAGTTACAATTGTTATTGTGTAACAGACAAATGGATTGTTTTGTGTTGCAAGTCCCAAATTTTGAGAGGATAATGAAATGACAATGTTTGAATTATACTTAAACATTAGGATTCTCAAAGTAAATATTGAATCAGCTGAAGAATTTTGGAAGAAAAATGTATTTTCAGTCATTTTGAATAAAAATATATGATTGATTTGGGAGTCTGGTAGTTTTCTTCTTTACATTATTTATGCATTAAAAGTACCCTTTTAATCCCCAAGGTTAAATTTCACTCTATTTCCCAAGGGATTAACTTTTTACTTTATTTCCCATGGAGTAAATGGAACAGGGAATAAAAGGGTACTCCGAGCCGAGGGAATAAAAAACACTTTAGTCCTGAGATGTATACACTATTTTATGTACTTTAGAGGGATCAAAAGTACCCTTTTAATTTTTAATCCATAAAGTGCATAAAATAGTGTATACACCTCAGGACTAAAGTGTTTTTTAATCCCTCAACAAATTATAGCCCTTCCTTTGGGATTAAAAGTACCACTTTGGTCCCTAGGTGTATAATGTACTACTTTGGCTGTAAAAAAAAACAATAGTTTTTTTTTTAAACAATATATTCAAAAAAGCAATTTTTTCTAGCTTTGACATAAAATTTATTTGATTAATGATCCCTGCAAATTCACTATTCCACAAGCAATAATTATTAAATAATCAGTTTTTGCTACAAGCTGATGGTCAATGCAGGAATGTCCTTCGACTATTGCAAATTCTCACAATCTTTGTATCACTCTTTCAATATGGATTCGTAAGCTGGCAATTCTTTTATTCAGCTTCTTAACAAACTCCGATTCTGCCTAAATTGATATGTGAAACCACATTTTTCTTCATACGTAATTTGCAGTTTGTCATCCTAAACTGCATCCAGTTATCACAATCTTGTTCCATCTATAAACATAATATAATGAGTACGTAGATGGAATGGTAATCTTGACCGGCCAATTGAATAAGTAGTTTTTATTCATAATATAATGTTCATATTTTTGAAATAATGACAGAAAATAGGTGTTTATAGAATGAAATTTGGCAACTAAGTTTACTTACATTGAAATGATCTTCGCAACAATAAATTCCACCAGAAATACTAGACCATATATTAACTTTTTCCACAGCTAAACACCAACTTCTTCTTATTTGTTCATTTTTGGGGTTTGGGATTTTCTTCGAATTTAGATTATTGTTTTTACAAGAAGGCACAAAACATTTACGAAAATCCATAGCCAAAAACTGAACAGTAGGTAGGCCTTAGGTGGGTACACTGAAACTGAAATGCATGCTCTATTTGAGTCCTTACCATCAAATAATGAGAAACAATGACTTACCTTGAATTAATAGGCCTGTTCGCACAGCAATCACAAACCAGTCAGAGCAAATTTCATTGGTTGAAAACAATCAGAAACAGTCAGAAAACTATTTTCAACCAATGAGATTCACTCTGACTGGTTTGTGATTGTTCTGCGAACAGGCCTAATTACACGTTTCTTTTAAATATTTTTCTTGAAACCTCGGAAAAACCGTTGAAAAACTCAAAAAATAATGAAAATATAACAACGGTCAACAACGTACAATCCAAAATAATAACAAAACAACATAACTTCACAAAATTGCATATGTTGATGGATTTGTTTACAACTGCTTTGCGCATGCCCGCCTAGTGACGTCATGGGAGAAAGAGACCAACAATTCGACAAGGACAAAAAATGTTTAAATTTTAAATCAGTTTAAATAAACCAGGAAACAATTTTCAATGCAACCAATATGACATGGCTGTTTTAGGCCTCACTATATCGAAAAATAATGGTCAGTATAATTTTAATGATAGGAGGTAACGACCCTATTAAGATGATTGAATTTTTTTCTGTAGTTGCATAAACTTTAAATATTATGGATAGGGCTAAAATAATCAAATGGTTCATATCGAAAAATCGACAAAGTTTGGATGTTTCTAACGTTTAAGGATAACTGAATAATACCTCTGTGCTTTACTAATGGTTCAAGTGATTAATATAAAATGTTTCTGTAACTTTAGGATGCAATCCTTTATGATTCTTTGAGAAAAACGTTTTTATGAATATTTGCCTGGAAATTATTTGTTCCAGAGATCCATGGTAGTTATTTTGAAATATCGGAATTTTGGATAGTATCTCAAAAACTGCGTCCGCCGATTTTATTGTTCCATGAAAAATATAGTCACTTATCACTAGAAACATACGAACCTGGATCCAAGAAAAATAACGGATGCGTTTCCAAGTTCATAATATGAACTTTTTCTCTTGAATACCTTGAGGAATTACATCCTACGTACTCTATTTGAGAAACACTCTGTATGTATGTAAATTGTAGAATTTCAAAAGAACAAAAAGAGAAAGAAAGGAGGAAATTAAAGACAATAAATTAAATAACTGACATGAAATATATAAAAATGTAAGAAGAAAAATCTTAAAAATAATATTTTTCAAGCATATCTATTGATTGCATCTTTTATATAAAATGCTTATAATTTTTTCTTGTGGTGCAACTAATTTTCCCAGAAAGAAGATTGAATTAATTCTTCCAAAAACTAACACAACTTAACCAAGCGTTACCCTTTTTTAAATAATTAAAAATGAAAAATGTCTGTCGAGTTCTTCGAGACTGTTTTATTTATAGAATCGTTTATTGTAGAATGTTTCTTGTTAGTTCTGCCTCTGAGATACGATATAGGCTGTGGGGTCGAGAAAAGACACATTATAGAAAAATTTAAGTTGACATTATGAAGTGTCGCGGTAATAAATTTTTCTTCCTGGTGTGTTGTTTCATGCTCGTAAAACACAGCGGCTTACTAAGATTTTAATTGGAAATAATCATTTCTAGGTAGGTGCTTGAGAAGAAGTGTTTTAACGATTTTTTTTAAAGCTTCCTATACATAGGGCAATGATATAATAAATTAAACGAGCTTTTTTAAAATCTACTTAAATTTAGAATAGGGAAATACCATGCTTACTGATAAAACCATTCCGTTAAATGCTACAGTTTTTT